ACCTTCCTCAAGACCCAGTAAACCATTTTGGGTATATATCCAAAGGATGCTCAATTGTGCCACAAGGACATGTGTTCAACTATGTTCATAGCGGCTTTGTTTGTCATAGTCAGAACCTGGAAACATCCTAAATGTCCCTCAACTGAAGAATCGATAAGGAAAATGTGGTACATTTACACAATGGAGTACTATGCAGCAGAAAAGAATAACGACAGCTTGAATTTTGCAGGAAAATAAACATTATTTTGAGTGAGGTAACCCAGACAAAGAAAGACAATTATCACATGTACTCACTCATAGGTGGTTTTTAAACATAAAGCAAAGAAAGCCAGCCTACAAACCACAATCCCAGAGAACTTAGAGAAAAATGAGGACACTAAGAGAGACTTACATAGATCTAATAATCTATATGGGAAGTAGAAAGTAGAAAAAGACAAGATTTCCTGAGTAAATTGGAAGCATGCAGACCTTGGGGGAGGGGATAGGCATGGAGGGGAACAGAGAAAATGTAGAGCTCAATAAAAATTTAAAAAATTGGCTGTCACAGGATTTCACTGCCATATTGATTAGAGATGACCATGTGAAATGGGCCTGACTAGGAGACAACAACAGATCTCCAAGATAATTTGAATTGGGATAGATTTTTATATAATAATTCATGTCTTGTCCTTAAAACATTTATAAAAAATAAAATTTAAAAAGCTGCACCTTAATGCTTTTATACTCAAGAATGTACTTGCTCTGCCAGCTGTACTTGTTAATTTCAGAGGCACCCGGTGATAATGGTTATAAAGACATAAAGGGAACAGCTGAGGTTTGCAAATGTATGGCAAGGCTAGAGTCCCAAAGAACGTAAGGATGGACCTTAACAGTTTTAGAAACGCCAGTGCCAGAAGCACCACCTCCAGTGAAAGGGAGCAGGCTGAGATCCAAAAGGCAAGCTATGTATATGCTGCCCAGAATGGTGATCCTAAGAGATGAACCAAGCCTCTCACAAAAAAAAAAAAAGACATACTTTATTTTCAATATTGCAGGAAGATATTTTAGATATTTTCATTTTTCAAGAACAGTTTAAAAATATTTAAATTTATAAGGCTATGGACATTTATGATTATAAAATGTTTTATATTATCGATATTTGAACTTAAAATAAAAGACTAAAAATTAGGGTCACAGCCATAAGCACCAAATGCTAACCAGAAACTGGGACATTCATTTCTTGTAATGCAGAAGACAATGACCTAAGCACTCTCACCAAGATCTTGACGCAGTTTCTCAGCCCGCTGTTCTCAACACTTTTGGGACTTTACAAACATTTTTACAGAGGTAGCCTAGGACTACCTACATGTCAAATGTTTGCATTAAGTTTCATAACAATGACAAAATTGCAGTTGTGAAATATAAATAAGAAAATATTATAATGGGAGCCCACCACAACATGGGAAAGTATATTGAAAGGTCAAAACACTGAAAAAGTTAAAAACTATTGTATTAAAAATGTCTCTCTGTAATCAAGGTCTATTCGGGCTTAACAATGTATGTCCAGTCTCCTTGTCTTTGCTAACTTTGCTAAGCTTAGTTTATATGGATACACTGAGTCATATAACTGCTTTGTGTTTCACTAAGAAGATTTTCAAATAAAAATCATTATTTTTAAAGCTAAAATTCGCAAAAATGTAATGTAAAGTCCTAATCCTATAAAAGCTATTAACCTATTGTAGAATGTTACCAAATACAGATTAATATCTATTTTTATAAAGGATTAAGTTTGTTAATTGCTGCCATGGGATTGACTACTGATATAATTAACCACAGGGATAAACCTTACTTAGTTCACTGTACATGTTTTCAAAAGGTGCTCTTAAAACAAGCTATCTATTCAGATATACCTGGGCATCCTTCATATACTTCAGACTTCTGCAGAATTTGACATTTAAAATGTTTATTGAAAAGCTTATTATATCAGAGAGAGACTCCCAGATCCTGGCAGTGACCCAAGGTCTCCAAAGAAGATTACGGGGCACCACAATTCCTCCACCCGGATTTAACACATAACCACTGGGCAACATGCATCAATGCAACACCTGCTGCCAGTACCTGGCCCAGACTCTGAACAAGCAGGAGGACACGGGAGAACAGATTGCACCACTTTAGTCTACACAAAACAAGGTCAGTCTTACTCATGTTCCTCCACAAAGAAGACTCTCGCCTTATGAGCCTGGTGGACTGCTGCTCTGATATTTCTGCCTCCAATGGTGTGGAGACCTGGGAATGGCCAGCAGGATATAAACTGGTCCCTGTCATTTTTATTAGGTTCAGAAGCTGCTTGGTCTAAACTCAGGTATAATTTATCCTTCTTAGATCTCTGATAGTACTGATGGCTGGGCTAGCTACAATTTTGTAAGCTTAGTAGCAGGCAACCAGGTTCTTCCCCAAGTCTGTAGCCAGATTGCTAGCTCGTTTTATATATAAAAATCAAGACTTGATGTGGGTCTGAAAAAAGAGGTCTAATGATATGAGGATATAAAAGCCTATAAGGTTTAAGGGTCTCAGAAAATAACTGTAAATACAAGTTATACAAATATAAATAGATAATTTAAGATATAAAAATGTTTCAGATTGTTTTTCCCTTCTGTGGTACAGAATTTCAGAGTTTAGCATTTAAAAGAGTTCTGAGAAGCTGGGAGAGCAGTGACTACTTACTGCTCAATCACAAATTCAAGATTTTAAATTTATTTTGGTTGTCATCTAAATATAAACATAAAGGTGCTTCCCATCAGGTCGAGATCCCCCTGTCCAATCTGTACCTGACTTTCAGAACAGAGGAAAAATGTATAAACTTCTAACCCAATTCTGTACATTTTGATAGGACTCAGAAGTATGAGTCTATTCCTGCTGTTTTATAGGCACCCATTACCTGCTTCTTCTACAATATAGATTTCAGTATAGGTTGATGACACTAATGTATCTCAAACTTTTATGTCCTTTTATAAAATAAAAATTCATATAGGCTTCAGAAAAAAACTCTATCTACTTCTTCTAGGTCAAAAAGATTTCAGATTAAACTCAGCCTAAGTTTTCCCCATTTGTCTGTTCCTGAGGATGGTATTTTCTCTTCCCTGGTCTTAGGTCCCCTCCCCTTTCTACTTACCAAGACTATAGGCCTGAAAGTTTCCATATTTTTCTTTAAGTTCATAAATTTTAATTTCTGCTCCTAGATTAAACCTGACTCCACAGGTTTCCACTTGACTGACAGACATACCCAAGCATCAGCTGCTGACTACAACCTGCTCCAAATGATTGCCAAAAACTGATGTGTACCAGTCAAACATATGTGAATGCTCCCTGTCTCTTCAGTGTCGTCTAGGAACCAGATCATTCTGATAGAAGCCCCAATGCTCAAATTCTCTCCATACCTTGGACTAGATTTTTAGCCACCTTGGTCCCTGATAACAGTGCCCCAAAGTCAGTTTGAAGTAGAAAAGAACACATTGTCCCATGTTCCCTGCCCAAAATAGTTTGAAATGCTGAGACAAGGGGGGAACTCCCAGGAATGGGGGATAAAATGACTACCTATATTGCCCATTGACATGCCAGAAAAACAGGCTCAGAGTTGTCAAAAGATTAACCAAATGGTTCTACAAAAAGATAAGATACTTTGGTTCTTTATGCAGAACCACAGAACCAAAAAGGACATTCAAGATTATAATTTGGTTGTATTAAAAGATCAGAGTTTTAGTTTATCCTAAAGCAATACCTGGTTCCAAGAAAGATCACCCAGCAATGGATCATCTAAGAGAAATTACCTAACATTCCAAAGTCCAGCACAGAGAACACATTCATCCCCTTTTTTCCAGAACAGCTCTAGATAAATGTCAGCCAATCAGGGGTCCTAAACTTTAGAAATCCTCACCCCTGCTATGATTATGACCTCAACCCAATGGAGCTCAAGATTCTCTGATTGTGCCAATTCATTGGACACATGTAGAGTCTGAGTTTTACCTTGAATGAACTCTCTTTGCTTATGCATTTAAGATTCAGTCTCCATGTTGTTTTTTTTGGGAGTCTCTGTGATCTGGGTATAATGTAAGAAAAAGTCAGAGGTTTCTACTGAAGTTCCTACAGAGAGTTATGCATTCACTCCAGGTCTGTATTCATCTTCCAGAAATCTTAAGTGCCTCAGTCTAAACTGTAACAATAAGATCTTACTAAAAATAATTGCATGTTTAGGCAGTTACAGATGGACAGGTGAAAATATTACCAATGTAAATTTTGATCATAAATAAACAACATAGGGCAGGAGAGATGGCTCAGCAGTTAAGAACTCTTGCTGATTTTGCAGATAGTTGGGCTCAATTGCCAATGATTACATGGGGGCTCACAACTATCTGTTATTTCAAGTTCAGGATTTTTATGACCATCTTCTGAATACTGTGAGAACCAGCCACACAAATGGTGCCTATCCATACATACAGGCAAAAGAATCATATTCGTTCAAGATAATTCAAAACAAATGCAATAGGTAGGAAGAATGTCAATTCCTGCAATACAGTGACTCATAAGGCTCAGGCAGTATTAATGCCTGGGAAAGAGAATAATACCCTTTGCCAAATTTAAAACTTCAAGATGTGGATAAAGGTCAGCACAATAGCTTATGCTTGACATGTACAAAAACCTACATTCTAGGCTCATCAGTCAACAATGTATTTTTTTAAAAAAGCAAGTTCACCACCTTTAACACTAGCACACAGAAGACAGAATTATTTGGATCTCTGAGTTGAGGCCAGCCTGATCAGCAGAGTTACTTTCATCACAGGCAAGGCTACACAGGGAAACCTTGTCTTCAAAACAAAACAAAACACAATTTAAAAAAAAAAAATCAGGCTAGCAGAATGTCTTACAATTGAATAGCAATTGTGTCAGCTGTTCAGCCTGCTCCATCCTGACTCTCTGCTGCTCACTGCTGAGGAACAAACTGCTCAGGAAGCCACGTCTCAGCCATGATATCGGATCCAGAGGTGGCAATACATCTAATTCGAGTCACACTCACCAGCCACAAGGTGAAGTCACTGGAGGTGTGTGCTGACTTGATCAGAGGCACAAAGGAGAAAAATCTGAAAGTTAAGGGACTGGTGCTCATGTCTATCAAGACACTGAGGATCACTACAAGAAAAACACCTCGAGGTGAAGGTTCCAAGATGTGGGATCATTTCCAAATGAGAATTCACAAGCGACTCATTGACTTACACAGCCCTTCTGAGATTGTTAAACAGATTACTTCCATCAGTATTGAGTTAGGAGTGGAGGTTGAAGTCTCTATTGCAGATGCCTAAGTCAATTATTTTAATAAACTAACTTAATCAGTTGTTAGAAAAAGAACTTAACCAAATTTGTTAGCAACTCTGCGAAGACTCAGGAAATTCAGATCCTGATCTAGGACCTGCATTATTGCTGCAACTCTGACACCTGCTGTCCAATCAAGATTATTACACCTACAACAATTTTCTGAGAAGTTAATCTGAGAACTAAATATTAGATTGATTGATTAATAATTAAGTAAATAAACTTGAAATTTATAAAGCAACCCAAGATAATCCAGGAATTTGCCAACCTTTTTGTTTCTACTATGGATGGATTTCTGCAAGAGCTATATGACCTACATGGTACATATACTTTTGTGACCATAGTGGCTATTAATTTCGCTCTTCATATTATATCCTTAAAGAAATGGTTTGATAACAGAGTCAAGAATGAGAAACTTTTCGAAATGATTCAGTCCTTACATACTGGCAATGAGAAGTTAGCTGAAAGGATTCATACTATTGAAAATGATAACATTAATTTGGTAGAAAAATTGAACTCATACTAATGGGTTGTGAAACCTTACAAATTGGTACTGAAAGATTATCTGAAAAAATCATACTGTTGAAATTAACAATCAAAATCTGTTAAAAAAAAGTTTTGATAAGATAGCAGATAGGCCATCCCTCCAGGAAGTCAATTTCTACATGCCATTTAAATAATTTCTAAGGATGAGAAGATATCATTAGTGGAAAAATTTAAAACTTTGGAATCACATGTACAGAATGAGATCCAGAGATTAATTGATTTAATGAAATTATTAGAAATAGTTACAGGTCAAGAGAATCAGACTTTTTAAAAGACAGTGATAAAAGATTTGAACGGATTGAGGAAGTTGTAAGAACTGATAAGCAAGGAGAGGAGGTACAGGCAAATGACAACAGAAAGGATTTAGACTGCCAGTACCTCTTAGAGTCGGAGGTGATTTACTAAGTGTTCTAGCTACTTATTCTGTTTCTACCTCTGAAAAGCCAGGAAATATTCAATACGCAAAAGGATATAGAGAATGAGAACCAATAGGAATGAAAGATCTAAAAGATATTAACCAAGAAGTTGTATCTTGTGGCATGTATTCACCATATATGAGGAAGTAGGTAAAGATGAAGGCTTCAAGAAATAAGGCTACTCCACACCATTAGCTTCAATTAGTCTCAGCTGTGCTAGAAGATGGGCCACAGTTACAGTGGAAGTGCTATCAGAGAGAGGAGGCTAAAGCACTGGAACATCAAGGTAGAGTCACAGGATTTGAACCCTCCTAAGATCAAATTCTTGGTGAGGGCTGTTATCCTGGTCAAGCTGGTCAAGCTACATACAATGAACACATCTTGTCCCTATGCCATACTGCAACCTTGAATGCTTGGGACAAGATTCAAAAAACAAAGAAGAAATAAGTCATATACTAAGGTCATACGAGGCCCAAAAGAACACTTTAGTGACTTTTTATAATGATTAACTGAAGTTGTACTAATAGGGATAACAGATCCAGAAGCTAGACAAGTAGTTATTGAATCTCTGGCTCTTGAAAATGCCAATTTAGAATGCAAAAAGAATGTGGGTTTTTAAAGGTCAGATCAGCACCAATGGATAAATGGATCCTGTGCACACCAAACGCTGAGTCATTTGACTATAATACTGAGGCTTGGGTAAGAGAAGCAATTTCCAAAGGTATGAAGGGACATCAAAATGCAAAATGTTTTAACTGTAGTAGAATAGGCCATCTGAGAAGGGATTGTAGACAGGGCATTTCTAGAAATAATATTTCTTCTGAGAATGACAAAATAGAAGGTCTCAATCTTCTGGCTTATGTAGAAGATGCAGCAAAGGCCAACAATTGAACCAATAAATGTAGATCAATGAGGGACAGACAACCAATTGCCATCAGGAAACTCATTGGGGGGCCTCTCACAGGCCCCCAGGTCAAACATGGTCCAGCCATTCCCAGTCACTGTAGAGGACATGCCTGCCCAGGAAAATTAGAAAATTCAGTGTAAAAAAAATAGGAAACATATATTTTGGCAGGCTTCTATAAACTATCAAAGACCAAGGTTGAAAGCACATAACATTATAATTGAAAGATTATTGGACATGGGTGTGGATGTGATATTATTACTCCAGAATCTTGGCATCTGAATTGGCCTCTTCAGGAGGCAGATGTTCAATTCCTAGGAATTAGACCCCATCTCAAGTAAAACAAAGCATGAGACAGGTTAAATTTATAGGGCTAAAGAACAGATAAGCAAGCGAAAGCTATAAGTGTCTAATATATCAGTGAATCTATGGGGTCATGATCTGTTATAGCAATGGAATACCCAGATTAACATTCCTGCAGTCTCAGAAATGGACCATAAATCAACTCATGTTTCTGGGAAGGATATTATAAGATGCAATAAAAACACTCACCAACTACTCAGGCTTTACAAAGACACAGAACAACAACTAGCAAACTCTCAGAGGTGCAAATAGCCTTACCTTTAAAATGTTAACTAAGAAACTTATATGAATTAAACAATGGCCTTTAACAACAGAGAAACTTCAAGCTTTAGAGCATCTGGTACAGGAGAAACTATATGCTCAGCATATTGAAGAATCTACCATCCCTTGAAATTCTCCTGTATTTGTTGCTAAAAAGAAATCTGGAAAATGGAGAATGATCTAAGAACTGTTAAGGTGATTCGACCAATGGGTCCTCTACAATCTGGAATTCCTTTGTCTTTCCTGTTGCCTAAAGGATGGCCTATTATAGTTATTGATTTAGAAGATTGTTTCTTCACTATATCTTTAAAAGAAAAAGACAGAAAAGTTTGCCTTCAATGTGCCTACATATAATAATCCTCAGCCTGCTAAAAGCCATCAATGGAAGATTTTCCCACAGGAAATGTTAAATATTCCTACTCTGTGCCAATATCTTGTAAGTGTCCTTCAGCTATTTTAGATTCCTCTGTTGAGAGTTCTCTGTAGGCCTATACTCCATTTTTTCATGGGATTATTATTTTTTGATGACCAGATTCTTGAGTTCTTTGTATATTTTGAAGATTTAAAGATTTTAAATTTCACTTTTAGATTCATTATGTTTGTAAGTTGTTTTATTGCATGCATACCTGTGCACCACTTTGTCCTCATTTCTGAGGAGGTCTGAAAAGGGAATCATATCCTCTGGAGCTGGAGTTATACCTAGCACACAAGCCTGAATATGGAATCCAATGTTCAGAACTTTTAGAAAGCAGACCTTCAGTTTTCCAATCTATCTTCCCACTGCATACCAAAAACAATGCCTGTGTGTGCACATTGGACAATGATATTACAAGCATCACAGGTTCCTATGGCCAGAGCTGCAGAGCTTTTCCCTCCCAGTTAATATATGCTTAGGGAGACTACGAAGCTAAGGGCCACTGCCCAGGTCACCACATGGGCCAAGAGTCACAGTTGTCACACAGTCCATCCTAATTCTAGCAGCTTGGACTCTGACAGCTCAGCCAAGTTGATGTTCCAGGTCTAGGCACAGTGGACCCCATATTCATCATGACACGGTTTGTGGTCTCCCTCACCGCTATCTGCAGCTACATCAGAGATTCCTGGAAAGGACTCACAAGCTATACCTTGTTATACCTGATTGCCGAGCTTTCCCAGAGATCTCATTATCTCGGATCACCAACTTGGGCTTCAGGAAGGCAGCAACTCCCCCGCTGGGTGAAGGGATATAAAATGACTCACACAGCACAGGCCTTCTCAGTTCTGCCTCCTGTCCTAGGGCCAAACAGGGCCAAAGGCTGGAGAATTTGTATTTTAGTAAAAATTGTTCCAGTTTCCAAGAGCATTTCCTGCTCCTCTTCAAAGATAAAGGGTCCTTTTTGTACACACTACATTGCACACTCAATGCCCAGTGTAGCCAACTCTTCACCTCATAGCAGGGGGGTCCTGAAGTAACTTTCAAACAATAACTGATCATCATCATGTATGCCCCAGCAATGTTTAAGCATGCACAGGCAGCCCATTTATGGCAGTTCTCCAGTTGTTCCTATCCTGGGCAGTCCTTGATGCTCGTTATTGTCACACCGAAGGTCCCACAGTCTTCCTTTATGCTGTCTACCCAGCATTTTAGGGGCCTTCCTCTTCACCTTATCCCTTGCACTCCTCCAAACAGTGCTATCTTTGGGTATCTGCCGTCATTCATTCTCATAACATGGCTGAAGTATCTCAAGCGCTGTATTTTACTTCCTGCTGTAGCTGGAGATGTTTCTTAAGGTCATCGTTGCACAGCCTGTCTCTTCATGTGATGCCTAGACATGCCATCTCAAACACATTCAACCGCTGTTCTGAGAAGCGTTTCATTGTCCAGGTTTCAGAGCTGTAAAGAAGTCAACTCAAGACAAGTGTCTCACAGACTTGTAATCTTGTTGTTGTCATTACGTCTCTTGCTGGCCAAACATTTCCTAGTACCTGAAATGTAGCCCTCACTATCCCTATCCACCTCTTCACATCTGAAATAGTTCCCTCCTTTGCACTGAAGTTTCCTCCCAGATAGACAAAGCTGACTGTTTGCTTGAGGTTCTGATTCTATATTACAATGTTAAAATCCTTGTATGCCCTTCCCGTGTATCTCAGTCTTCTTGATGTTTACTTTTATACCAAGGTTTTCACTGACTTCCAGCACTCTATTTACCATGGCCTGCAGCTCATTTGGACTTTCAGCAAGTAGTGCTGTATCGTTGGCAAAATGCAAATTATTGATTCACACACCACCTATCAGCACACCTATCACCTCATCTCCAGGGCTGTTGCTATTATTAATCCCAGGAATATATTAAAGAGCAGTGGTGAGAGGACACACCCCTGCAACACTCCTATGATTATCTTAAACTCATCACTTAGTTCTCCACAGACGCTGACTGACGCAAAGGTGCCTTTATAGGCATTTTCTAGTATTCTTATGATTTTTCTCTGCGTATCTGCAGAACCTCATTGTTTCCCAAAT